TCTGCCTGGTCCAATGCCAGCTGAGCTGCTGCTTGTTTTGTTGTATGCGCTGCTAGGCAACTTCTTTCCAAACTGTTTTTGCTTATTTACCTCCCCTGGGCCATTTCACAACACTTAGTAATAGGCGCTGCTCTCTGTGGTGCACATCTGGTTTGGATTTAGCCTGTCAGAGCCCCTTTGCAAGGAGAGCTTACACTTTTCTCCCTGGTCACCAGCTAAGACTCCCAGGATCCCGGCTACTCCTGGGCGTTGGTCACTCGCCCAACCCCCAGAGGTCTCCACCCTGCACCTCCTCCTTGGGTTTTCAACAGTTTACACATTTATAAGCCCAAAGAGGAGGAACTTTAAAGAGAAAAAGGCGAGGGAGGGTGCAAGGACTCTAAGAGCTGAAAGCAAACTTAGAGAGGATGATGCCTTCAGAGCCCTTGAGTTCCAACAATGCCCCTGTTTCTTTGACAGAACTTGCCTCACTCAGGACACAGGGAGACAGTTATGGGCCCAGGTCCTGGTTCCCTCAGACTCAAGCCTTTCTACCACGACCACTTGGCATAGAGAGAATTGGAGGCCACATTAGGAGGGGAATATTCACCAAGTGCTTATTCATGAAATAGCTTTATACATGGGTTAGGGTTAATAATATTGAATGAATGAGAGAATGAGTCTGACTTTCTTTTCAGCTCTCTTACTGGTGATATTTTCTATGCTTCCCTTTCTCTTGCAAAATAAAATGCTCATCTGTCATGATGGACTATATGCAAGTCTTCATGAGTATTGCTTGTCTGAGTACCAGCTCCTGGTGATCCTGCCCACCTCTGGACAGGTTCTTTCTCCACTTAGAAGACCCTTCCTATTCAACCCTGCCTCTCCACACCTCCCCCAGAGGGTGGACCTCTAATTTCTTATGCTAGATATCTATCTTAGTAATTGCCCAGTGCCACTCTCTGGTCTTCAGAAACAGTAGTTAATCCATTCATACTCTTCACTCACTCATCAATGAGAGACAGAACACTAGATGGCCAACTGTATGGCCATGAGGAGCAGTCTGTGACTTGCACCCTTGATGGTTCTTTATTGAGTCTTCTTTGTATTGACATGCCAGCTGTTGACCTTGAGTGTAGACTTCTTGTGATCTAAGAGGATGTGCGTTTTACCTGCACATATGTCTGTGCACCACATTTGCGCCTGGTGCCAGAATCTAGAGGAGGGTGTCAGATTACATGGAGTTACAGGTGGTGGAAAGCCGCCATGTGGGTGCTGAGAACTGAACTGGGGTCCTTTGCAGAGCAGCCAGTGCTCTTAACCACTGAGCCACTTCTCCAGCCCCAGTCATTCAACAGTGTGGGGTGAGATGCAAGAGCAAAATCTTGCTAAGTTTATATTTCTATGTTTCCCTTATCCACCCTGAGGGGAAACACTATCCTCTTGGTTTCTTTTCTTTTTTTTTAATAATTGTTTATTATGTATACAATATTCTGTCTGTGTGTATGCCTGCAGGCCAGAAGAGGGTACCAGACTCTATTACAGATGGTTGTGAGCCACCATGTGGTTGCTAGGAATTGAACTCAGGACCTTTGGAAGAGCAGGCAATGCTCTTAACGTCTGAGCCATCTCTCCAGCCCTCCTCTTGGTTTCTTAACCTATGATTGATCAATAGTCCTAAATTCTATCCAATTCCAGATCCCTACCAAACTCCAGTCCTGCCCCTGCTTGCTTCGTACACTTCTCCTTCTTCCTTATCTCTCCTACTGTGTGACCCTAGTTGCTAGCCTTGCTACCTCACCACAGGCTCTCAGTTTTTATTTCCATGCCCAGGTAGTAGGCATGATCGTGTTTTATTAAAGGTGTATATCTAGTGGTAATTCTCCTGTGCTTTACACTGCCCTAATGACCTTCCACTGAACTCGGTAGAAATCCAGCCCTCTATCTGGACTCCAGAGGGTGCCGTCTAGCTCCCACTCACCTCCTCAACTTCAGGCCATGCTCAGGTGCCTTCCTACTTTATCTCACTATGTTCAACTCTATTCCTTACACATATCAACTTGTTTGAGTGTTGGAGCTTTTCCATCAACTGCCTTCTCTCCTTGGAATTCTCTTCCTTCACGTTCCCGGGTGCCTGATTCCTTCTGCCCATTCATGTATTGTCTTCAGTAGCACTTCTTCACAGAGGGCTTTCCTGGACAGGACTCTCTTTCCCATACACAGACCATGACACAGAATCATAGTCTCATCAAGTCTTTGTTAGATTATTCTCAACAGATATGCCCGGATTTTTTTTTTTTTCTATCTAGCACTGTCTGGTTAGAGTGAAACTCTACAGGTGGGGACCATTGAGAACCAGGTCTGAAACGTAATGATCACTCAAACTGCCTGCTGAGTAATAAACGGATGGCTTGAAGGTAGCCTGATCCTGGTGCAAAAGCCAGAGGGTACATCCTGTGTGTGCACGTCTTGCTGGGCTACTCTCAGGCTGGGTGACTATCTGGGACATCTCAAGGGTATCCGCCTCCGCAGTGTGAGGAGCAGATGACGTCTTGAGTGGATGTTTATTATTGACATGAACACAGCCAATTCAAGGGCTCCAGATCCACAAGAACGACAAATCCTCCCCCTGGTCCATGCGCAGATGTTAACAATATGTACAGATAGCGTAGAGTGCAGCTTCCTCATTTGGGATGACTGCAGCTGAGACTGCTTCACTGCAGGGAGAGCACACAGTGCCCCCAGCCATGCTTTGCTTGTGTTGTGTCTGTCTGTCTGTCTGTCTTTCTTAATCTCCCCTCTCCCCAGCCAGACTTACAAAGCCAGCCACTCAGCCACTGCTTCAGAGTTGCCAGACTGATGAGATGCTGTGGAAGAGGGTACTTGGAAGAACTGTTTAAAAATTATCCATTTTATAGACTATAATTGGCCGCACGCTGGCGGTTCTGCATGCTGCAACCCATGGAAGTATAACATGGATTCAGTGCAGGAGTGCAGGGCTATAACCAGAAGGAAAGGGAAGAAGGACATTTGAAAAGAATGCCATGTTCTAAGTGGGGTCTGTCTTACAGTGATGGCCACACTGGCTTGCTGTGCTTGCCCTGAACAATAGCACTGCAAGTTTTGCACAGATTATCTCATTTTTTTCCCCCAAAGCAAGTTCTGTGAGATCCTCATTCTACAGTCAAGCAAACAAAGGTTTGTTATGGTTAACCTATTTGTTTCCCATGACACCATTTAAAAACAGAGCCAAGACTTACAAGTAAGACTAGGAAAGACTGGAGGTGCGGGTCCTCCATGCAAGCAGACTTACTGCTACTGGGAAGAATGAGCTATCCCTTTACCTGTGATCTGTAGACCTGGGCATATTCTTCTGCCAAGCCACTGGCATGGCATTATAACTGGTAGTGAGCATCTGTTCTCCATGGCTGCTACTTAAGTTCGTTTAGAATTCTTATAAAATTACAATTGTGATGTGTGCACACGTGTGTGTGTGTGTGTGTGAGAGAGAGAGAGAGAGTGCATACATGTGAGTGTGCGAGCATACATTTGAGAGAGTGTGAGTGCATACATGTGTGTGTGAAAGAGTGAGTGTGTGTGCATACATATGAGTGTGTGTGAGTGAATATGTGTGCATACATGTGAATGTGTGTGTGAGTGTATGTGCATACATGTGTGTGTGGGAGAGAGAGAGAGAGAAAGAGAGAGAGAGAGAGAGAGAGAGAGAGAGAGAGAGAGAGAGTGTCCAGACATGAGGTCAGAGAACAACATTCTGAAATCAGCTCTCTTTCCACCACATGGAACCAGATGCAGGGTTGGCAGCAAGCACCCTTACCTCTAGAACCTTCTCTCTGGTCTTTATCTTGCTCATTTTTTTTTTTTTGTATTTACAAAAGGCTTATATTCCAAAAAGCATATGTAAAGAACTCAGTGAAGTTTTATTGAATTGCAAGAGCTAGACAGATGACAAAAGAGTAGTTGGTACCCCCAAAGAATATCTTTGTTCAGCTTGTTCGAAATTGTAAAGGAGGTGGGCGGTACCGTGCAAACAATAGGAATAATGATAAAAATATTTGTGAAGTGCTGTCAGATCTCAGGAAATTTCTGACCATTATCTGTAATCCCTGTATTACTTGCCTAGTCAGTTGACATGGCTTTTGTCAGTTTGACACAAATCTGCACATACCTGAGAGGAGGGAAACCCAACTAAGGATGAGGCTGCTTCTGTCAGCTGCACTGGGGCATGTCTGTGGGGTCATTTCCCTGATCATCCATTGATGTGAAAGGGTCACAGCCCAACTGTGGGTGCTGCCATCCCTGGGTTGTATAATAAAGATAACTGAGCAGGCCACGAGAAAGATGCCAGGAGCAGGGCTTCTCCGTGGTCTCTAGTTCAATTCCCACTCCAGGTTCCTGCCTAGGCTTCCCTCGGCGATAAACTGTGACCTGAGAGCTGAGAGATGAAAGAGACCATTTCCTTCCAAAGCTGTCCTTGGTCAGTGTTTTGTCATGGCAACAGAGAGCAAGCTAGAAAAGCGGTGGTGCCAAGTCCAAGCGGTCGTCCCCCGAGGACAGCATATGGTCTTTCCAAATACTGAAACCACGTCCATGATAACTCTGTACTGTGGAAATGTGTTTGCTCTGACTGGGGTCACACAGGGCACTGAACTGAAGAACAGCCTTTCGTTCGAATTCCACAGAATTCCATGCTGGGTGGACCCCCAGTTTCTACTGAATGCCTACCACACCCACACTCCAGAGCCCCACAACTGTGTCAAATGCATGCTTGACTTGATTCTGGTACAAAGACTTGATGTGGAGCCAGGGAATTTCAGAGCTGTGCCTGTAAGTCTGGAATTTAAATATTAGCCTTTTTGACCTGGGCGGCTTTGATCTCCCAAGTTTACATTCACAAGTATTGATAACACAGCTCAAATCACAAGCAAGAACACGGGGCCTGCAGCCCACAGCTGCCAAGTGTGTGCATATGTACAGGATCTCCGCTGAGATCAAAATGGTCTTGGCTTGTGAAAGCGCTTATCTGATGCTGGGGGAGTGCCGCACGTGGAACGGCGAAACAGAGATCTTTTCACATAGCCCATCTGGATGGCTTCATCCTATAGGACAGGCTTAAGAGTGACCTGTAAGTGACCCCTACCAGAACCTGGCCTTACCTGAGAGCTGGCCTTCCTCAATTTCTCGTTGCTTCCTCATTGAGATAGGACCGTAATGCTTACCCATTATTTGCCAAGTATCCATCTTGTACTAGCTACAGTGTCGATGACAGTATATGAAACATTTATATATAGTACTGCTGTCACGTCGTTATTCAGATGAGGAAACTGAGGCACAGAGAGTTCATTCGTGAGATTCATACTAGGAGTAAACAGCAGAGCAAGGATCTGAACCTGGTGCCTGAGTGTATTTCTTCTTTTCATTTTATGAATAAGGGGGGGCAGATTTGGATTAATTTCACAGAGAAAGAGTACTTTAAGTAACTTGCCAAATGTCACATGACCTGTTAATCTGAATTCAAACATATTAATTTGACTGAGAATGGCCCATAGGCTCATGTATTTGAATGCTTGGTCCCCCGTTGATGGAATAGTTTGGGAAGGATTAGGAGGTATAGTCTTGTTGAAGGAGGTGTCTCTAGGTGCGGGCTTTGAGGTTTCATAAGGCTCCTGTGATTACTAGTGTTCTCTCCCCCCCCCCACTGCCTTCTACTTGTGAATCAAGATGTGAGCTCTCAGTTACTGCTGCAGTACCACGCTGCTGCCATGCTCCCTAACATGATGGCCATGGACTTTTTAACCCTCTGAAACCATGAGCTCCAAATAAACCCATTCCTTTATAAGTTGCCTTGATCACTGTGGCATCTTAACTAGTCTTAACTAAGACAGTAGCAGAGCCAAAATTCATGCCCAGGTCAAAGTCCAATGCCTGGATTTCACAACCATGCAGAAGCCTGTTTGTGTGAGCTAATCGTGGTTTCCAGTACTTCTAAAGGTTGTTACAAAGAAGAGGAGAAGAGAAGGAGAATGAGTGTGAGAACAAGGGAGAGGAGGAGGAGGTGGTGGTAGCAGCAACAAGAACCTTATGGTTCCTCAAAGCTCAGAATATTTAGTCTTGCCCTTAGTGGAAAGAACTTGGTAACCTCTTCACTCTATGGTCTCCTTTATGTTTTGGGCTGATATACTGCTTTAAGGATCAAATAAAGGAACTGGGGGGTGGGTAGGTGGTGTTCAGAGATACTAGCTCCCCTTTGCAGGGCTTGTTCCCCAGCAGACAGAGCAATTGTAGATCTCTAGGCTCAGACTCACCTTGGGGGAAGTCTGGAAGAGCTGCCAGATCGTACATTGCTTCCTCTGTTCTGCCTCCCATCTCATTCTCTCATCCCTGTCTTACCATGAAGAATTCCAGATATAGCTTTACTTCAATAAAGTAGAAAATAAGAACCCCCATATAATTTCTGGATGTTATAATGTGCCCTAGCTCCAAACCACCATCCCCTCTACCATGGGCCCCCAACTCATGATGCCTTTGTCCTTAGAGCTCAGTATAGTCTTTTGCTTTCAAAGCCCAGCCCTCTACCATGTGAAATGTCTGGTTTTCTGAGAAAATCTTACAATATCTCCTACTCTTTCCTCCCTTGACTTCAGTGGTATTCACCTTAAATGGGTTTCTATTGCTGTGATGAAACACCATGACCACAAAGAAAGGAACAAAGGGGCTTCTTTGGATTACATTTCCACATCATTGTTTATCATCAACGGAAATTGGGACAGGAGTTCAGACAGAGCAGGAACCTGGAGGCAGGAATGGTGCTGATGGGGGCCACAGGAAGAAGCTGCATATTAGTTTGTTCTCACGACTTGCTCAGTTTTCTTTCTTATAGAATCCAGAACCACTGGCCTGGGCATAGCATCATCCACAATGGGCGGGTTCTCCTCTATCAACTACTAATTAAGAAAATGACCTGCAGTCTTGTCTACAGCCCCTTCTTATGGAAGCTTTTTCTTAATTGAAAGTCCCTCCTATTCAACAATAGCAACCAACTGATCAATACATAAATCTGGGAAGGAAGAACCTGCTCACCTTCTGCTGTCTCCAGGCCTAGTCTCCCTGGCACTGTAAGGATGAAGGTGGCTCCCTAGTTTCTGACCTCTTTTCTCCTTCTGTCTTACATAGTCCTGTGTGGTCAGACAGCATTGCTCTGGGAGGATTTGTCTCTTTTAAAGTTCTAGCCGTGAACTTTCTCTTCCAGAGGAGAAATCCAAGCAGAATATTCCCCCAAGACACTGTGAGCTTACTCTCACCTTCAACATGGGCCTGATTTAAGGACTGATCAGTGTTCACTGTGATCCCACTCTTGGCTTTGAGAGATAAGTGGGAAAGAGACCCCAGCCTCACGGTACCAGCCTGCTGAGTGTGTCTCCATCTTCTTCTAGGAGGGTGAATGTCCACCTGTCCAAACCCTCACCTTTGTTCCCATGGGGCTTCCCCATCTCAAGCCCCTTCTTCTTCAAATAAGTCACCACTCTGCAGTCAGGACAAAGAGCTGCTCCTCAAGGCAAGCCCACCTCAGTCATTTTCCTGCTCTCCTGTCTTCAGTGATACTTGGTAATTTCAGAAGGGCATCCCCTGCCCAGCTCCCCATGACCCAGGCCTTGTCACCCCTTCCCTCCTCCTTTCCCAGCACTGAGTCACTCCTTCCCTATGGCTTTGCTATGCCAAAGCAACTAAAACACTCTACGCATTCCTGACATTATGCCAGCAGGTTCTTTCTCTCATCAGGATGCCTGTTGCCAACTCTGCCTTACAGAAAATATCTGCACAGTCTTCAGGTACATACAGGGTACCTTTCGAGGCCCTCTACATTCACACTTTTCCTGTCTTCTGGTGTTCTGAGTACAAGGAGTTAAAAGGGATCTGTAGGTTCTTAAGTCTTCTGTCTCTGGTCATTTTTGACCAACTAGTAGCTTGGAGACCAGAGGCATGAGGTGGAAGGTTGAATCATGGGTAGCTCTATTCTTGTTTGACTTGCTTGCTGGTCAACAGTGTGAGACTTCTGAACCCTCCCCGCTGTGTATGAATGGCTCAGCAACAGTTGAGCCCCCCCAACTCTGTTCTGTGATTCTTCTACCTCCACATCTTTGTGAATAAGAAAAACAAGTATGCTGTTTGTTGAGAGCCTTAGAACCCTGACCTAGACACAGTGACTGGGTACAAAATGTTCTCAGGGAGTACCTTCTGAGTACTTTTGTCTGTCAAGATCTGGTTCCGGATGTTGTCCTTCCTCTGAGGCTGTCTCATTTCACCTTGACTTAAAGAGATGCTGCTGCAGGAGCTCCTTCCACTCCTTCAGCCAATAGCCTTTAAGATACCAGCTCACTTGGGTGTGGTCTCTTTTGCTTTAAAACCAGCGGTAGCCAATTAATACAGTTTCTGTGTGATTATTTTGGGTGTAGGCTAGCCAGGCGGCCAGGACAAACAAGGGGCCCCCTCCTCATGTAACAAGATGCATGCTGCTTCCTCACCTTAGTGAGCAGCTATTATATGCTGAACTGTGACCTAGGCACTGCCGATTTAGAGGTTGCTAAAGGCTCACTGGTGTCTTGCCAATCTCTGACTTCAGCACAGGCAATTAAACGTGAGCCTCATTAGATAGAATGGCTATGGGCACAGCACCAATTAGCAGCCACATCCCAGTTCTGTGAATTAGCTGGGCTGTGACTAGATTATCTCTCTGAGCCTCAGTTTCCCAGTCTGCAAGTTCAGTAAAGAGCAGTCACCTCGGGCATTTGTTGTAAGGACCCACGTGGTTAGCCTAGTCTGATATGTGCTTGTCAACCAGTAAGCATTCGTTATCATGTTTATTGCAGCGGGTACTTGGTTTACTTACAGTAAGTAAATAAATAGACATATTACTGAATGATAACTGAATGAATATCTCACTCACACAAGTCTAGCTGTCAACCATCTTCCCTCAGCAGCTGAAACTCCGCTGTTTTTCTGAATTACTGGGCGTTCCAGATCCTGGGGAAGTGACCTTGGCTTTTGCTGCCATTTCCTTGCTTTGGAATCCTGCTCCCAGAGCACCATGACCCAGTCTGTGGCAAACACATCTGGCTGCAGGTGCTCCTGGAGCTTGTAAACAGGGGTTGCCAGGCTCTTCCCTGAAGCTCACAGTTTCTCAGAAACTGTTTGGGTTCCTGTTCAGTTGCCTCTCTTTCTGAAAGGCTTCCACAAGCCCCACTGCCCTTCTGGTAAACCCTACTGGCGGGGGGTTCCACTTTCGCTTTCCCTGAACACCCCCAAGGGGAGATTTCTCCCCGCAGCAAGGGCACTCTCCTGTTTCCTTTGGCCAAACCCTAAAAGCTTCAGAGTTTTTAGGATGTACTGAGCTTTACACAGATGCTCCTCATGAGCGCAAGCCTCCCAACTGCTTCAATAATTGGGGAGTCTGCTGCCTGTGGCTTCCAGCCTGTATGGGACATGCTTTCCATACTGTTCCCTCTCTTATCCACAGTGGTACTTCCCTGCAGGCAGAGAAGATTTAGAAGCACTTCCTACACTAGCAGCAGCCTGCCATTTTAATTGTTCTGTTGTATCTGTAGTTGATAATCTCTCAGTGAGCCTAATTTGAAAGCTAAACTTGATCGTGGGTGTTTATGTGTGGGAAAACCCTTGCACACCCAGGCTTCCATACTGTCTACACTTGAGGTGTTGTAGCATCTCGGGATGTGTCCCCTACGAATAAGGGGAGGTTTCGGTATACTCTCTGTTCCTCTCAACATCCCTATATGGTGGGCATGATCCCAAGCCCATAAATGTGGGGACTTGCGTCTGGGGTGGTGGAAAACCTAGAGTTGGGAGGTTTAAAGAGAAAACCCCACACCTTTGACCTTTATTAACAAAGTCAGGAATGACCGCAGATGGAAGCCCCCAAGGGAAACCCAGCACAGCTATTGAAGTCACTTGGCTTCCGACAAACTACCAGGTTACTTGTGTGTATTTGTCTCTCCCACCGGGTCACTCCTCCTCAAGTTGTGTCTGTGACACAGTTCATCTTGATCATTTGTCCCAGTGCACAATTTGAGTTGAGGGAGGAGAGATCAGCAGCGGTGAGGGGAGTCTGAGAAGCCCACACCAATCCAGAAAGCTGAGAACAGAGGGAGGGTTGCTGTGGGTACCAGGTCATGGAGGGGCTTACAGGTCACTGAGGAGCTGGATTGAACCCTGGTTGTAAGAGGAAGTCACTAAAGGTTTCTGCGAAGCGCTCTCATGTGATATAAAAAGAGAATTCTACAGTGGGGTGAGAGCTGTTTAGAAGACAGTAGAAAGAAGCCAAAATGGCTAAGATGAATGCTATTGCAGCCCAGGCCAGAGTTTGAAGATACTCTCAACCTGGAGCAGGGGTGGGCGGAGTTTTCTTACCTCACCACTAGTGTTTCCCTCATCAGTGGCTCTGAGCGAGGACTGAGGGTATGTTTCTATCAAAGTTGGTACCAATAGTCTTCCAGCACCACTGGACTGGAAAGGGTGGGGCTGGAGAGATGGGCAGGACACAGACTTGTCCTCTGAAGATCTCTGTGCATGTGGGAAGCAGGTGGTGGTGTAGTTCAGAAGCAACAGATGTGTATCTGCTGCAGGACATCTTCCCAGTGGAGGTGGAGGAGATGCTCGCTGGAAGCTTCTAGAAGAGGAAATGGCAGGTGAGCACCTAAGGGACGTCCTGGGGAAGGGTGATAGAAGGAGATAAAGCAGAGGGCATAGCCCACGAGCCAGAAAACAGCAAACATGTCTAAACAATTGAGGCTGAGATCCCAAATGAAGAGTCTGATGAAAATCAGAGAGGCTGGTGAACATCACTGTGTGTGCTTCATAGCTGACCACACACTTTATCGGTCTCACAAATCCCTAAATCCTTCCTGTAGCATCTCTGACAGAGAATGTCACTGTCGGGCTCATCTTTTCGCTAGGTTCCTGGGGTCAAGTCACAAAGTAGCATTTGATCCTTTTTTATTTGGTTTGAATCTAGGCTGCTGGGCAGTGCAGGTCAGCTGAGCCACATGAGAGAGTCGACGGGTATCTATTGGATAGATCCAAAGTTCCCCGTGACTCTCAGCACTAGAGACCGAGGACACAAAAGCACCATTCTGGTGAACTAGGTGTGTGGACAGCATGGGGATGTGGGCTCCTGGGAGGCAGGATAATGTCATTTCTTCCAGGTTTTTTGTTTCAGTACAGAGGTGAGATGCGAAATCAAAGGCCAGACAGTGAAGGCTTGTCAAAAGATGGACAGCACAGCTGGGCCCAAGGACTAGAGCACCACAAATTAAACTCCTCATGCCAGCCTCTTGCCCTAGGCTGGCCCTGGTGTAGTCTGCCTTGGTCCCTTCTTGTGATTCCAAGGTCTTAGGATTCTCTGGCTTTACCGGCAAGAGGCTTTCCACTATCCCTTGGGTACGTTGGGTACCCTGTGATCTTGGGCTGAGCCACCTGCATAGTTTATAAGTATTTGGCTCCCTGTCTTGATTGCCATCTTCATCTCTAACACAGAAGAGCCTCTTCAAAGATTCCCCAAACACTTTTCCTATTTTTTTTTCTGGTCTTTTTTTTTATTTATTTATTTATTTATTTATTTATTTATTTATTTATTTTTTAAAGATTTCTGTCTCTTCCCCACCACTGCCTCCCATTTCCCTCCCTCTCCCCCAGTCAAGTCCCCCTCCCTCGTCAGCCCAAAGAGCCATCAGGGTTCCCTGCCCTGTGGGAAGTCCAAGGACCACCCACCTCCATCCAGGTCTAGTAAGGTGAACATCCAAACTGCCTAGGCTCCCACAAAGCCGATACGTGCAGTAGGATCAAAAACCCATTGCCATTGTTCTTGAGTTCTCAGTAGTCCTCATTGCAGAATTCTACCAAAACTTCCAAGAAGAGCTAATACCTATACTCCTTAATGTAGTTCACAATATAGAAACAGAAGAGTCATTGCCAAATTCCTTTTATGAAGCCACAGTTACCCTGATACCAAAACCACACAAATACCCAACCAAGAAAGAGAATTACAGGCCTATCTCACTCATGAATATCGACGCAAAAATTCTCAATAAAATACTGGCAAAACGAATCCAAGAACACATTAGAAAAATTACACTTTTCCTATTTTGAGCCTCGGTGTTCTGTGCAGTCTTCTAAAACCTCCAGTTTCTGCTGTATCTATGGCTCCTCAGCGTCCAAGTCCTTTCAACAGAGATTGACACATTTTATTTCTTCCTGGGGCTAAAGCACTGATCTGAGAACTTCGCATCTTCAAAATTGCTATTGGGACTCCCCCTGTATGGATGAAAACACAAGAAACCCACAGAGAAGTCACACGCACAATGTAAGGCTATGCAGCTAACATGTTGTGGATCCAGGGGTCAGACCCTAGCACACTACCCCAGGGTCCATGATGCTTGACCCAGGAAACAGATGCTGAAGGATTAAAGGTGCATGAAGAACACAGGGACTTCAAGGGAAGTCCTAACGACAGAGGGCTTACTGCTCCTTGAGGCATTTTCTCTTCTTGTTCCTATTCTGCAGGTTGTGCAATGCCTCGTGATATCCTACCACCCGTGGAGAACAAACAAGAAAGCATCTAAAGACCCCGCAAAGAACTTCAGACTTAGCAGACAAATATACAGGCTGCCTGGCTGAATACTCACGGGTGTTGTTTTGTCTAACTGGTGCAAAAGATTGACATAGAAAGCATGACAGGATCAGTTCTAAAAACATAAGACTAAGCAGGCCTGGTGATGCAAGCCTGGTGATTCTTGCTGCTTAGCAGATTGAGGCAGGAGGACAGCAAGTGCAAGACCTGCTTAAGGAACAGGCTGAATTTCAACCAGCCTGAATAACTTTTTGAAACCCTTTCTTAAAATTAAAAACTAAAAGGAGGGCTGGAGATCAAGCTTTAGTAGCAGAGCTTGCTTCACACATGAGAGGCGCTAGGCTCAGTTCCCAGCACAGACACAAGCATCGCACATGGTGGGCCCTACTCCTTCAATGTCTCCTCTGGGGAAACCTGGAAAAGGCTCTCCGGCCTGGAGTGGAACTCCCTGGGATGGCATGCCTAAGCCTGCCCATGGGTACTGTGTTCCAGGTTCCGTTTCTAAAGGTCCTCACAGTGTCGCCTACTGTCACCTCCTTCCCTCTTCTCTTCTTAGCTATCTCCTGTACTAACTGGAAAAAAAAATTTAAAGCCAAAAACCACATGGGTGTGACTCTCCCCTTCCTCCTTGACATCTCACAAACCACGTCTAAGTAGATCGCTTGCTTGCTTTTCCTCATGGTGCAGGTGACAGGGGTCTGGGAGAAGAATAATGGCTCTCAGAGGATTGTGACCTCAACAACATGTTACAAATTCTCCCAGACCTCCTCTAGGACAGTTCTGAAGTCAAAATATGTACACACACTTGTGCTAAAGCTTGCTTTTTTCATGACTGGTATCCCAGCAGACCAAAGTGTCCTCTGTTCCTCATGGCCTGACTTCAACCACGTTCCCCTGTGCCCTGTGTTCAGAGGTTTCCACCAGCAGAGCATGTCTGAGCTCCTTGGCAAACTGACTTCCCACATGCTCCCAAGCTGCTCTGTCTTCACCAGTTACCAAGATGTCCCAGGTCAGATCGTATTTACATGACGTGTGTTTGGGTGGGTATACCTTGCCTGCTGGGCAGCCACGCTAAGTAGAAGAGAAACACGCATAGGATGTAAATCAGCATCCCAAAGAACAAGAGGATGCTTTTTTGGGCATCCAGATTGCGACTCAGGGGGCCTTAAGGAGGACCTGTCATATGCACAGGATCTGGAAACAAGGCATCAAAACAACGTGTGTTCTATTTTCAGCCACTGTGCTTCCATACCACAGATTCTGTATCCTTAAGTGTCTTAGTTAGGGTTCCCATTGCTGTGAAGAAACCATGACCACAGCAACTCTTATAAAGAAAACATTCAACTGGGGTGGCTGATTTACATTTTCAGAGGTTCAGTCCACTATCATCATGGCAGGGAGCACGCCAGCTGGGAGTATAATGGTGTGCAGGCATGCCATGCACTGCGGCCCCGGTCTGCGCTCTATGTGCTCTATGCGATAGACCCCAGTTCGCAAGCTTCGGGCAAGGGGCTGGAGGTTGAGAACACAGATGCAGAGACAGACCGACACGCAGACCTTTTAACACTGATACCAAAGCCCCTCTTTATTAGCACCATATATTCTTAAATACGCTGCAGTCAATGGCCAACAGGTGAAAATCCCATCCTCTGATCCTCTAAGCTAGGCACAGCTTCTAGTAACTTTAATTTGAAGGTTCTAGGAGGGGAGAGCAGTTGAAGGCCAGCAGGACTCATTAATCCCAAGACAGGCAGATATGGTGCTGGAGAAGTTGCTAAGAATCCTATATCTTGCAGGCAACAGGAAGTCAACTGAGACATTGGGCCGTATCCTGAGCATAGGGTCCTCAAAACCTGCCCCACAGAGACACACTTCCAACAAGGCTATACCCACTCCAGTAAAGGCACACCTCCTAATGGTGCCACTACCTATGAAAGCATGGGGTCAATTACATTCAAACTAACACACTAAGACTTAGCACAGAGCCTATGACAAAATATACACCCCCCCTTCCACTTATGTCTTGGTCATCCATTCACTGAACATTATATACTCACACGTGGTATGGGAAGTCCTTCTGTATATGTGTTGCTTTGCAGCAGGGCGGGGAGGAACTAAACTCAATGCTGGGAGAAAGAAGGGGGAGTCAGAGAGACACCATGTAGCCACTGCCACCGAAAGAGACAGATGCCCAGGGAGCTTTACTGGTAAACCATGAACCTAGTGGTAAAATATAAAATAATGGAAATAGGTTAATTTAAAATATAAGAGCTAACTAGTAACATGCTTAAGCTATTGGCCAAACAGTATTTTAAATAATATAGTTTCTGGTCTGGGCAGCTGGGAAACAAACAAGCAGCCTCCAATAACACATACACATGTGCATGCATAGTCCCAAACACTGTTTACAGGTGTGCATGTGCACACACACACACACCTACTAGCTATTGGAAGACGCAGAATGTGTGATTAGAATATTGGAATTGGATAGCAAACAAATGGAAAGTGAATATGCATACCAGTTGCTAGTATATCATGAAGAAAACAGCATTTCCGGCATGAGGATGGAGGCTGAGAAGATAACTCAGTAAAGTGCTTGCGCTGTAAGCATGGAGACCTGAGTTCAAACCCAATCGCCCATGCACAAAGAGTCAGGTACAGAGTTACAATGCCAGCACTAGAAAAGCAGAGACCGTAGAATCCCTGGGGTTCTGTGGCCAGGCAGCATAACATACTTGAGGAGTTTCATGCCAATCAGAGACACTGTTTCAAACAACAAATGAACAAAAAGCCTACAAAGGATGGTTGTGAAATAATCTTTTTGTACCCTGTGAAAAAGTATCACTCCGATTGGTTTAATAATATTTGAGTGGCCAATAGCTAGGCAGAATTTCCGGGCACAGAGGATGCTGGGAAGAAGAGGGTGGAAAAAGAGAAGACACAGAGGGAGCAAAAGAGCAGGATGGACAGTGCATAGATGAGGTAAACAAAGCCTCGGGGCAGCACATAGATTAGTAGAAATGGGTTAATTTCAGTTAAAAGAGCTCACTAAAAATAAGCCTAAGCTATTGGACAAGCTTTCATAGTTAATAATAAGTTTCCATGTAATGATTTGGAAGCTGACTGGTGGGATAGAGAAAGACTCGTTACAAAAAAGACAGGCAGTACTTGAGCACACAAGAAATTGTCCTATGGCTTCTACATGTACTCATACACATGTGCATGCATACTCCCAGACCCTATATAAAGGCACACACACACGAACACACAAACAAGTACAGGGAGATAACACAATTGGTAAAGTGCTTGCCATTCAAGCACGAAGTCATGTTAAAAAAAAAAAAACAGGTGTGGGTATATGTACTTGTAACCCCATTACTGAGGAGGCAATCAATGACAGGAGGATCCCTGGAGCTTGCTAGATAAATACTCTAATTAACTCAGTAGACTCCAAGCTTGATAAGAGACCTTGTCTCAAAAAATGAGATGCAGAATAATTGAGGAAATCACCTGATATCAATCTCTGGCCTCCACATACATGCTCAAATATATGTGCTACATGTACATGTACAAACACACAAACTTGTTGCGGTGCTTTGAATAAGAATGGCCGCCATAGACTCATATTTGTGAGTGCCTAGTTTAGTCATCAGGGAGTGGCATAATTTGAAAAGTATTACAAGGTGTGCCTTGTTGGAGGAAGTATGTCACTAGGGATCATGTGAGTCTTCAAGAGTCCATGTGATAATCTCTCTCTCTCTCTCTCTCTCTCTCTCTCTCTCTCTCTCTCTCCCTTCAGATCAGGATGTAATTTTCAACTACTCAGCTACTGCTCCAGCATCTGCCTACATGATTTCATATTTCCTGCCATGAAGATAATAGAATAAAACCCTGAAACCATAAGCCAAGTTTTAATTAACTACTTTGTCTTATAATCATTACCTTGCTCATCATGGTGTCTCTTCACAGCAATGGAACAGTGACTAAAACACGTGTGCACACACATACAAAGTGAGGATAGAGACATGAGGATGTACTTTATGTAGGAAGTGATCCGGGAAGATGTCTCTGATTTCATAGTTTTTCAGTGGGCAGAGCCTTAAGGCAAATGAAGAAGTAAGCCATACAGCTACCTGTGGGGAGTGTGTCCCAGGGCAGCAGAAGGGAAGGAAGTGCAAAGACCAGCTGCAAAGCAAGAGTGTATGGAAGTGTTAGAGACAGTGAAGAAGGTGTGGGAAATGGAGCAGGGGTTGGGGAGGAAGAGCAGCTGGAGAGACAGTCCATGAAGATCTTGTGGGCACTCGAGCCAGTGGAATGGGCAATGTTTCAACTGACAGGGAAATCCAGTTGGGAGTTCAAGTTGATCAAGCTCGCTCTCGAGGCTATGTCTGTATAGTTGAGAGTGAATACGAGGGTAGGAACAGGAGCCGTTCAAGGTTATTGCAACAGCTGTACAACTAGATGATAGTGGCCGTGGCCAAGGTGGTGATGCTGAGAAATGTGTAGATCACTTAGGAGCTCTGCAGTTCCCCTTGGCCTAAAAAAAAAAGAAGGAAGATTTCTGATATGGCTGCAAGCTGAGCCTTTATTTGTTTTTCTCTTTCATAATTTCATTGATATATATTTGACAAGCATAAACTACATTCATGTAGTACATAACATTGCAATTTGACTGAACCAGATAGCTTGCTCTTGCCAGCCAGATAGCTCAATTTTTTTTATGTTTTCTATAGTACCTAAATAGTGAATTTACATTTGCACCATTCAAGAGTACCTTACCCTTGTCAATGCTTACCCTACTACTCTGGAAGAAGAGCAAGTGCTCTTTACTTTTTGCTGAGCCATTGCTCTAGCCTCCTCCCTTTTCTCATTCTGCGAAACAGATGTTTTCAATGCAGGGTTAAGCTTCCCGGTGAGTGGTGGACAGTGACTATAGGACCTCCAGGCATGCTAGATAATTCAAGGAATGGAGAGGTGATGGATTCCAGGCATCTTTGGAATTCCCTAAGGAAGGAGGCAGGTTATATTACAAAGATGTAACCAACCGTTTGGAATAAAGACTTTATACAAAACTGAGAAGATGTCATTTACAGGTAGCAGCTGAAATCACGCAGGTAAGTTAAGAATAGTCTTTCCCCCTTCCTATATTGTGCAATTTTCCTGTGAGCTACATGTATCTTGATTAACAAAAGAAAGAAAAGATAAAGAATAATTGGTCTAGAATACTATGTCAAGGAAAGGCAGGAAAAGGAATCTATTTCCTGGAGATATAATTGTTTTTTAATGAAGTAGATCTACATTTGTTAATTAGGGAAAGAAGGACAACTTAGCCACACTGTCTGGGGATTAAAATTTTCATTGGTGTAGGTCAGCTGAATCACCCAAACACATCTAAGGTCTCTGGTGGTACATGTTTCTGTATGAAACATGAACTTCCTTTGTTCATCTGTGTGGTTTGTGGGTTCCTTGAGGAAACTGTGCACATGCTAAGTTTCGTGCAAAAGGTTTTTGTGCTTTAGAGTGTGTCTCTGTGTGTTTCGTCAGTTAGTGTTTACTCTATCAACCACAGGAGCCCAGGAGCAGCAGAGCTGGGCTCCTGTCTTAGCTCTCACTATCGCCCGGTGGAATCTCCAAGTTCAGATGATCACTTAGCTACCTGGAGTTGAATGACCACGTGCACTGCTGCCATTGCTCTGTGTAAAGGACACCAGGACACTGTGACCCTGGAAAGGAGGTCAGGACAGCCCAGGGATACCCAGAAACCTTACAGCATGAAGAAGGGCTGACGAAACTAATATGCATTCTACATGGGAGTGGCTGAACCGGGAAGGATGTGCTAATACCATCAAAAAGTTGACTTGATCCCAACCCACACTGTTACTGAGCCAGAGATAGATTTTTAACTCACTATTCACAGAAGAAGAAGAAAAAAATAAACAACAAAAACCAAACAATCCTGACAGTATTTGCCACTCAACAGTGAAATGAACTGCATTAGAAAGAGTTCCCATTCTTGGGATAACAGAGGGTTAGAGTTCAAGGAGCAGACCTGAGATTGAACTGCGTCTTCCTAAAGCTCCTCTCAGTTTGCAGATGCCCTTGGGTGATGAGTGCCTGGAGCGAGCCCAGCTCTGCGGACTCCCGTATCAACCTGTGATTGATAGTAAAAACACTAGTCAATGAACAGCACATGAACACACTGTTATGCACAAAACCATGCTGCATGGACCCTCACCATCATTTTCATTATCTTCTCCCCATATTTCTATGCTACTCTAACTGTAACACAGGGAACAAAATTGCACGGGCTTTTCCTACATGGCTATTAAATCTCCGGTTCCTTTTCTACCAAGATGCACACTGTCAGTTTGACCTAAGATAATCCCAATGCTTCTGAGAAATTTACAGCGAGGCAAATACCTATCATTCCTCAGGCTTCCTGGACCGTGTGGTGACTGCCTTCAGCCAGGCACTGAAAGGCACCCTTGCCCCAGAAGGTGCCTGCTCCTGGTGTGGCCCCAGGTCAAGGCCAATCAATTTGGCTTTGAGGGAAGGGATGTGAAGCAAGTCTCTCCAGGAAGGTCCAGATGTTCTGTTGCACTTTCATGACGGCTTCTGCTAAGTGACATATGGCAGAGTCCTTGAGAGTCTGGCCAGGCATTGTCAGGAAAGGCAATCACTGATGGTCAGGCCCCCTGGAGGACAAGGGAGATGCAGATGAAGTAACAGAGGAATGAGCTGTCACAGAAACCGGGGACTAGAAGGTGGTTTTCAAGCCAGAGAACCTGATACTCACACAGCTTGACCTCTTCACTTTTATAGATGAGGCAGTGACTTTCCAGAAGTGAAGTCCAAGGTCAGCTCTGCAACAGTCAGAGCTGTACTTACAAGGCTCAGAACGTTATTTCCCTCTGGATTTATACCTGCAGATCCCCGTTTAGCTCATCGCATCTTAACCCTGAACACACTATACCCTTTAGGCTGCAGAGCGTCCACCGCACTCAAATGCCTTCAGAGGGATTGACGAATTTTAAATATTTGCACGCACCCTGCTTCCCACCCCGAGGTCACACGGTGAAATCTTAAATTCCAAGGTGATGGTATTAGAAAGTGAATGGGCCTTTGGGAGATGATCAGGGTGGAGCCTTTGTGAGTAGAATTAGGGCCTGTGTCGATTTTTTTGCTACTGTAAAATCTATTATAGACTGGATTATCTCTAAGTAATAGAAATGTATTTCTCCCAAGGCTGAAAGCTGAAAGTCCACAATCAAGCTAGTGAGGAGTGTTATGAGAACTGGTTTCTGCGTCTAAGATGGTTCCTTCTTGCTGGATGGTACCCTCTTCAAAGAATGGATGCTACGTCATCCTACGGTAAAAAGGCTGGAAGTGGCCCAAGTCCATAATGAAACTTCTTTCCTCAGGGTCAGAATCTCCGTTGCGAGGGAGGAGTCCTGTGACCCTGTGACTTCCTAAAGGCCAGGCCTGGTATTATTACTGCATTGGAGGCCACGTTCTAATAGGGGTGAAACACAAACACTTGAGCCACAGCCGTGTTCTTATTTTAGAAGGCCCCGGAACCTTCTTCCTCGCCCCTTCCCCGGGTGGCGAAATGGCGAGAAGCCATCATTTTTGAGGAAACCGGTTCTCACCAGGCACTGAATCTGCCTGTACCTTCATCTTAGGCTTCCCAGCTTCCAGAACTTTGAGAGACAAGTTGTTATGGTCTGTAAGTCCCCTGGTTTGTGGCGCTTTCTTCTAGCTAAGCTGGACCGGACTAAAGAAGAGATTTCATCCATGGAAGGTGCTGAATTTCCTACCAGGGCAGGGGGCCATACCCCCAATGGGACAAAGAAGAGCGCCTGTCCACAAGCAACCAAGGGGAATTCCGCCATCTAGTGACAGGTTCACCGTGGGCAACTATCCCACTGGGTAATCAGAGTCTCTCTTGAGAATTCAAATCTACAAAGAGGTGCAGTGTTACACAAAGTTCAGAAACATTTTAATTTTTTTTTTTTTTTTTTTTTTTTTTTTTTTTTTTTTTTTTTTTTTTAAACAAGGTTGCGCTCTATGGCCCGGGCTGGTCTAGAACTCAGAGATTCCTTCTGTCTTTGCTTTCCAAGCGCTGGTATTGAAGGTGTGCCAACACACCGGGTCAAGTTCAAAAGTTTGAAGCATCAAGAAAGGATAAAATTCTTCAGATGTTAATTAAGTAAACTTACTGTTCCTTAATTCTTGTTTCTGTGTGTCCACCCTTTCCTGTTATGGAGAGCTAGAGAAAAATAAAGACAGACAGATAGACAGAAACAGAAAAGCAGCCCCAACCTGACTTTTCAGTATAAATAATTGGAGCAATTCTTATACCATTCGCTGTTTAAATTCCAGGCAATCACTGCAGGGGTCACTTGATTTCTCCTTCCTCTATTTAACATTGATAGAAAACTCCATTTATTCAAGGCACAAAGATAGTTAACTCTTATTCCTCAGTCTCAGTCTTAGCTGGGAAGTGGAGGGGGGAGCACTATTACTACTCGGTAATGATTAAGATGAAGAGATCAACAGACATTGCTGGGGCAGCACACACACACACACACACACACACACACACACACACAACCTGTCTGGTGAAGTGGATCTGAGAGCAGGGAGGAACTCTGGGAGCACGGTTGCCAAAAGGAGTAGATTTCAGCAAAGGAAGAGCAGGGCCAGGCAGGCCAGCTTCCATCGAGGGCACTGAGCTAAGGATCTGTACATGTACGTGGGGAAAACTGCAGTTTGACGGTCATAGGGCTGTTAAGTCACCAGGGCATAGCAAGAAGGAGGCTGACCCTTATCAACAAAGATAATTACTCAGGTTTCATGTTCCGGCCAAGTCTCACCAGCGGTCAAGGCCAGAAAAAGCTTCACTGAGCCTGTAGACTAGAATTTTCCAGAATTCTTAATTTGAATGTCATTAGTCAGCCAAGCTCAAGTTCATCAGGGTCCCTGCCACACCTCCTTGCCTGTGTTCTCTTATGGAATGTATTTTCTTCTGCCCCTCCTGGGTGTGGTCCTTGCTCTCAGAAGGGTTGTCAGTTTTCTCTGGGTAAGGGGATGATGAGACCCCTGCTTTACCTAGGTTATCTCAGGAGATATGGAAGGGGAGGCTCAGAAGGATGCTCTTGAGGGAGAGAAATCCCTTAGAAAGACACTATAAAAGACCAGCCAAGAGATGTCAAACACCTATAGCCATGCCCTGAAGGACACAGTACATGTAGAGAAGTAGCATGCATCTCCTCTTGCTATTCCAACAACTGTGGAGCTTTTATTGCCTTTCCCTCCATCATTCTTTGAAGGCACAAGAAGGCTGACTCAATTATCTCTATGAAGCATTGACCTGAAATTCAGACTCTAGGTTACATGATGTAAATTTCACCCAACAGCACTCTCTTGTGTGAGATTTTTGTGGCGTCCAGAGGTAGCTCAGCTGAAGCTTAGTGTGGACTTTGGGATCCAGGAAAAACCACTGAAGATGGCTCACTGATCTGTGTGCTTGAAGCTGGTGGATTGCATGGCGGTGTCTGCGTCTATTTGGGCTGCAATAGCAGTATACTGTAGACTGGGTCGCTCATAAAAAAAAATGCTTATTCCTCAAAGATATGGAGAAGTCTTTGGCAAGATACAGTGTCCCATGAGGACATGTTACCCCTGTGCCCACATGATAAAAAGAAGTGATTATCCCTCTGGGATTTCCTTAATAATGACACTTATTACCCTGTTCAGGGGCCTCTACCCTGACCCGGTCAAGTCCTAAAGCTCCACCTTCTACTATCAACATGCAGGGAATGCAATTTTAACATATGAATTGGGATGGGGCACAGACATTCATACCACAGCACTTGGCAAAACCTCTCTACATTTTCCCTTTAGAAATAAGGGGGAAATAATCCAAGCTTGGTTTGTATAATAAATCACAAATACCAAAGCAAGGTTAGGTGTTATAATTTGGCTTACAGAACCACTGGTTTCAAATAGGGTCAGAGGATCCTTTGTGGGCCATAGCAGCCTAGACTGGGAGCCTCTATCTCCATCTCCCCCAGTTCTGAGAATTTAGAAACTACCCTCATCTGAGCAGCACCCCTAGAAACTGAAATGCTCCCCCTGAAAGAGAACTTCTCAAAGTGCTGTTCCAAGAAGATAGCCTGGACATTGTTAGAAACAAAAAAGGAATAATCTCAGTGTTGTACAAAGAACCACATAACAAAGAAAGTAGCTCAGGAGGTAAGTCACCTTGTAAAGGCTATCTAGCAAGCACACTGGCCAACATGGTTCCCCCCTTTTATCCATGACATCCGTGACAGCATCCATCAGTGGGAGCTAGACTTCACAAACTGATGCAACTGGCTGATTTTTGCAAAGGGAGATGTGAAGGTTCAGAAAACATGAGTCCTTGCTGACCATACTATCTTCCATGTCTAAAACAAAAGACGAAGGAGGGCTCTTACAACAGATTGCTTGGGCACCTGCAATGCTGAATTCTCAGGCCCCTCCTTAGACCCCTTGAACTGGAAACTCAGAAGTTTGGGTCTAGCGATCAGCTTCCCCAAGCCTGCTATGGGATTCTGACACTGAAGACTGAAACCATTGCTCCAAAGGGCAGCGGCAGACCAGAAATGTGCTGTTGAATTCGTGAGTCTCTCCTGAGTTCTGGATTTCATCCAAGTGAGAAAATTCTGCAAAGTCATTCAGAGCCCCAGATGTTATTGGTCAGAGTGAACGTGAGCAGACAGCCTGTTGGGAGGTTAGAATTCGAGTTTCACATAGATTTTTTTTTAATCTCTATTTATTTCTTGCTCTGATCTTACCTGTGATGATGGCTCCTTTGGGAAGCCTCTCCTGACCATCCTGGACCTGTGTCACATGTTCCTGCTCATCATCCCAGTGCCTGCCACCTTTTGGTCACATACTCCCCACTCTGGAGCCAGATGAATAGAGATGTTGACCTTCTTGTTTATCCTTGAGTTTCCAGAATGTAGTAGTAGAAGTAAGGTATTTAGCAACTATGTACTTGATTAAACACTTAGCTCACCTTTGCTGGAAAAGCCCATTATGGTAGCCGTTGGCCTGAGTTGATGCTCCTCTTTTTACCTTGTGCCTTGTTCTATCCCCTTCGGTCCAGCTGTAGCTACCAGGCCATTAGAGATGCTTGGGCACTCTCTCCCTAATACGCAGTCTATGCTGGACTCTAAGTTGGTCTCCAGCATCCCACTGCATTACAGTCAACTCTATAGTCACTGTCATCCCATAATCCTACCCCAGAATTCAAGATCTACCATGAGGGAGTGCTCCATGATAACCTATTGTGCTCTCACTACACAAGAGGCCTCAGTGAATGACTTTGCACTGACTTACTTATTCAACATTCAAACATCAGGTATAAGGTCATTGAGGAGATGAAGAAAAACCAACCCCAAAAGGAGTGACTTGCCTGGGCTATACAGCAAGTGGGTAGCCGGGCTATAGCTAGGATCTATGGCATCAGACTTTCAACAGACCACTTTATACCTCTGTTG